CTGGGAGCGTCTTCAGACTCGCATCTTAAGAGCCGAGCTTCCCGAGAAAGAAATCCTTTGCCTTTTTAAAGGCTTACAACTTTAAGGGGTCCACGTGAAAGGGTCGTGATAAACCGAGCAAGCATGGGAAACGTGACCGGGGGCTACATGCATCAGCTAACAAAAAGTTTTACAAGGCTTTTTTTTTAATACGGTGTCTGGGATTTACAGATAACACAAGTAGTTTAGGTCGGAGTTGATGTTATTACTTTTTTTAACTCCTAGGGCCGGGTGGTGGTGCCAAGGTTGTCTGACTGTTTATCTTACTTTTATTTCTTTCTCTCTTTTCTCCTGTCTTGTGAACTAGGCAAGGTGGGGGGAGGAGGGCAGCAGGAGTAGTAGTGGTCTCCTTCCTTACTGGAACCAGACTCCATATCCCCCGCCCCGTCCGCTGGCTGCCAGCAGTGCCCCATCCGTGCCCTGGTGAGAGAGGCAGCGCCCCGGGGGTACAGGCACAGGCGTCAGCTTTGGGTCTGAGCCCCGGCCCGGCCCCGATAAGCTGCGTGGATGAGGGTGGGTGGAGGTTGCCCCTGCCTGGAGCCCCCGCCTCCTCACCTGCAGCCTCACCTCCCTCACAGGCGTCAGGAGGGAAAACAGGTGTCGTAGACCTAAAAGGCTCAGCAGAAATGCCCGTTCTCCTTGCTGCCGTTACTGCATCTATCCAGCAGCCCCGCACCACAAACCCAAGGTCTAGAAGACCCTATGCCTCAGGCAGAGCTGAACAGGACACACCTCAAAGAGCCGGTCCCCAGATCGGACCGCCAACGACCAGGCCCGATTCGCGCCTCCGGTCGGTCGGTGACTTGGCAAGGCAGGAGCGGGCGAAACTCGTGGCCCTCCCAGGGAGCGGGCAGATGATGATGACTGATCCACACCCGTCCACAGGGAGCGGGTGCGACAAGGCCTGTGGCTTTCTGTGCAAGAATCGGCCCGTGTCCTCTGGGGCCCGGGATGAGGTTTTAGCACCCACTCCCGCTACCAGGGCTCAGGAGGGAGGGCCGGGGAGCCTCCATCTGGTGCTGCCGGTGGCCACTCAGACCCAGCACGGGAGGGTTGGCAGGCCCTGGGCAAATGTGGTGATACCACTGGGAGAGCGGTCAGCAGCTGCCCCTGGCCCCGCCGTCCCTCATGAAGTTATAGACGGCGGCTCTTCAACGTCTCCAGAAATGGCAGAGAAGCTCCCAGAGCTGACGTGCAAATGAATCTTTTCTCGGGCTCGGACCGCACAATTCTGCTGGGACCAAGCACAGGCCTGGCCGTCTGCTGCCCCTCTGGGCCTGGCTCTGCTGAGAGGAGGAAGCCTGGCTGTTGGGAGGGGGTCTCAGGTGCCCTCTCCATGGAGCCCACCCCCACCTGATGGTGTGCATCACCCCTCCCCCGGGACTCCATCTCCGCAGCCATCAGCTGCCTCTCCCTCCTCTGGGGCCCCCAGCTGGTCCTCACGGAGGGCTGGGTGGGACTGAGGCCTGAGCCCCAGGTGGAGCTGGCTGGTGAGCCGTGTAGCCCAGTGGTCACCGCGGCCAGCGGGGGAGGCTGAATCCCCTGCCCCAGCACTCAGAGGCTGGTGGAGTGGGTTGAACTGAGCCCCTCCAAAAACGTATGTTGAATTCCTGACCCCGGGTGCCCGTGAGCACTGGAAATGGGGTCTTTGCGAATGATGGAGGGAAGATGAGGTCGGACGGGGTGGGTCCCAAAGGCAATGACCCGCACCCTATAAGGAGGCCGCTGACAACAGGGCGAAGTCGGCCGCGTGACATCGGAGGCAGAGACTGGAGAGAGGCAGCGGTGAGCCCAGGAACACCACAGGTGGCTGGCAGTGCAGGGCGGAACGGCCCTCCCCTGGAGGCTTCAGAGGGTGTGGCCCCATGGACTCCTTGATCTCAGGCTTGCGGCCCCAGGGCTGCAGGAGCTGCGTTTCTGTGGCTTTAGGTCCCAGTTTGTGGCTCTTTGTTATGGCAGCCCCGGCAGACTCACACAGGTGGTGACTGCGGACAGGCCTCCCGACCTCCGGGCCGCAGTTTCCCCACCGGCCCCTGCCATGGGGTAAATGGGTCTGGGATGGTGCTTAGGTGGGGGAGCTGCACCCGCTGCCTGCCGTCCTTGCTGTGGCTGACGGGGTGGTCCCGGCTGCAGCTCCAGCCCTGGCTCCTTGGAGGCCTCACACCCTTCCTGGCACCCATTGCTGGGCTCTCGGGGCCTCTGGTCACCCCGTGGGTGCTGATTGAATCGGGACCAACACTGATCACGCTTTCAGAGGCTGTGGCCCCACGTGTGTGGCTAAGGGGTGACTCGGGGCCGGCCGGGCCCAGAGCTGATCCCAGGCTAGGAACGGCAGCAGCAATCGTGTTGGCGTCCACCACGTCCCTCCCAGGGCCTGGCCGTGGGACCAAGGGGACGTGTCTGTGGCCTCTGTGGCCTGAGTGTGGAGGTCAGCACCCAGTGGTGTGACAGTCCTCGTGGGGCAGCGAGGTGACCGGGTCTCTGTTGGGTGCCCCTGGAAGGCTCAGAGGCAAGGATCTTCAGGCAGAGAGTTTGGGGGTGGCCCCAGGAAACACCCGTCATCGAGGGGGTGCTATGAAGTGAAAGGGTGGGTGCCAGTGGGCAGTAGTAAGCAGGTCACCGCTGTGGGCAGATGCACTCCGTCCCCCGGAGCCCCAGGCCGCAGCACTCTGGAGCTGTCCCTACCATAGGGAAGTGGCTGGGCTGTGGTGGCTGCGCCCCGGGGCATTGACTCCCCAGACTCCCGGCTGTTCCCACGCCCAGGCCAGGCCTCCTGTGGTCAGAGACGGCCAGAGTCACAGGGGTTGTAGGAAGTGGCCGCAGGCACGGTCGGGGGCAGGCGGCATCTGCTTCGAGGGCCTGCGCGTGGCTTCCCTGCCCTCGCCAGCCTCTGCCGTGTGGGTCCCAGGAAATTGGCGCTTGATTGCATGAGCGGCCCTGGGCTCCAGTGCATTGGATCCTGCAGCACCGCTGTGGCCGTGGGAGGTGCTGGGGGCAGGGCTGACCCTGGGGCCTAGCTGGTTCCTCCCCGCCTGATGCCAGAGAAGGGAAGTGCTGAGCGTGTGAGGGGGTCAGTAGGGGAAGGGGGTGCAATGGGGTGGCCAGGAGCAGAGACCCCATCCCCCGAAGCACACACACTGGCCGCGTCTGAGGGGAAAGGAGCCCAGGGAGGTGGACGGGGAGGGCAGGGGTTGCCTGTTGCTGGCCTGGACGCCTGGGGGGCATCGTGCTGTCCTTGGGGCCGGCAGACTTCGGACCCCCAAAGCTCACAGCGCCAAACGTGACCCCCCACACCAGGCGGCGGCGGCTAGAACTGCGAGGGGAGGCAGCGGCTGCCCGGATGGGGAGGTGCTAGTCCTTTGACGAGGAGTTTGCACCTCATTCAAGTCCCCCACCTGGATCCCTGGTGAGGCATCTGGGGTCCAGCCTGGCAGGGGCCCCGGGTTTGCGTCTGTGGGGGTGTGGCCTCTGCGGGAGGACAGACCCTGGTGGGCACTGGTCACAGCTGAGCCGCCGTCAGGGCCACAGCCTTCACTTGCCTCAGGTCCCGGTTTCCGTACGTCACCCAGCGCTGTGTTTCTCCGCCAAGGCAGAGCCACGCCCCACCTGCGCGTTCATGCTGACTTATTACCGACTCTTCTCGAGTGAGAGGAATTCTCTCCAAATGCCCTTAGGCTTTCAGCTTCCAAATGAAATGAAATGGCTGATGAATCACTCAATCTCAATGTATTAGGAAAGATGTACCTATTTGCATCCGATGAGCAAAATGCACTTTTTTATTGATTTAAAAGTTGACTGAGGCGAACAAATCAGGGAAAATGGCTCCTTTTTCATTTCCCTCTGAGCAGCAAATTAGGCAACTTAAAAGAGCTTTGAATGAGTCAACAACAAAACGCCCCTAAATGTGGAAACGTGAAGGGCAAACATCTCAGCCTCGCTCTCGACGCTCACCGAGGACATAGCCTGCCTCCTGCCCTGGGAAGCTGGGGGCTGTGGAGGACCCCAGCCACGTGGACGTCCAGCCACATCCCAAAGTCTCCAAGGGGAGAGGGGCCCCCAGCAAGCCTGTCTGGATTAGCCAAGATGAAGGGCTTCAGGAGTCATCAGAGATGGAACTGCCAGGCGCGATGGCTCAAGCCTGCCATCCTGACACTTTGGGAGGCCAAGGCGAGAGGATCACTTGAGCCCAAGAGTTCAAGGCCAGCCTGGGCCACACAGGGAGACCCCCATCTCTAAAAATATTTTTTAAAATTAGCCAGGTCTGATGGCACCTGTAGTCCCAGCTACTCGGGGGGCTGAGGTGGGAGGATCGCGTGAGCCCAGGCGTTAGAGGCTGCAGCAAGCCATGATCCTGCCACGGCATTCCAGCGACAGGTGAGAGAGATCCTGTCTAAAAAATACAACAACAGAGAGAAAGGGAGGGAGGAGCCTGCACGGGCTGAACTATTTTAGCGTCCTGGGGCTGCCGTAACGCAGGCTTACACCACCAGAAATTTATTCTCTCCCAGTTCCGGACGCCACAAGTCCAGAAACAAGGTGTGGGCAGCGCCCAGCACTCTCCCTCTGGAGGCCCTGGGAGGATCCTTCCCTCCCCTTCAAGCTCTGGGGGCTCCACACCCCTGCTGCGGCCGACGCTCCAGGCCCTGCCTCTGTCTTCACAGGGCCTGCTCTGTGCCTCTGCTCTGCTCTGCTCTGCTCTTCACGGAGGAACACCAGTGACAGACTTGGGACCCAGCCTCAATCCAGGGTAACCTCACCCCAAGATCCTTAATTACATCTGCAAAGCCCCTATTTCCAAGGAAAGTTGCATTCGGAGGTTCTGGGTGGACATGAATTTTGGGGGCAGGACACTGTCCGGCCCAGTGCCAAGAGCCGCTATGGGCCGGGCCCTTTGACTCTTGCAAGCCTACGACGGCCACAGAGCTGCAAGGAGGAGGGCTTCCTAGAGGAGGTGGCCCAGTTCGTCAGAAAACCAGCACGTCTTCCCCTTGGGTTCTGGGACCAGCGCTTTCAACGATAAATCCTTTGGGGCCAGGCAGATCCCAGCTGAGACCCTGCGGCGCGCCATGCCCGGCCTGGGGCGGAGGTGAGACAGGCCGCGCACCTCCAAGCTTTGACACGTCCTTCCTCCAAAGGGTGGAGGCTCCACAGGCCCCGCACGGTGAGTGCAGGTCGGGGGTGGGCCGTGGGGTTGCGGCCTGCAGTGTTCTCAGGAGGGCACGGGGCTGGGGGCAGCCGAGACGCGCTTCAGTGGTGAGTGGAGAAGCAGCTGGGGGTTTCCTCCGGCGCCAGAGAGAACTGGGTGATGAAGCCTGGGAGAGGCGTGGGGGGCCTGAAGCGCGCCCCGGTGCGAAGGCTGCGCGGTCGGATTCCAGCTTGGCGCCTGCAAAAGGCTGCGCTGCGCCGCCGGGGGAGGGAGGGTCGGAGGCTGCCAGGGGTTGGGGGATGAAGAGCGGGGGGCAGTTTAACGCAGCGAATCCACCGCGGAGGCAGGAACGGCAGGTGGTGCGATTCCCACCAGGACCTTTGCCATAGAAACCCCGGGTTTCTGAGGGGCTGGAGGCGCCGGAGACGTGTCCGCGGAATGGCGTGAACCTGCGGCAGCAGCGGCGGGTCCGGATGGAGATGGGCCGCCCGAGCGCACGCTGCACGGGCTGTTCCCTGCGCTTGGCTCCCGTAGCGGGGTCGGCCCTCGCCCCTGCATTTGGCGGACTTGATGCGGAGCCCGAGCGTGGCTGCTGGCCCGGGGCGGGGAAGGGCCCTCTAGATCGGGGGTCCCACGGCTGGGCTTGGGGGGCCCACTTGGCCTTCTCTGATTGGTCCGGAGTTGCAGGTGGGGCCGCCTCAGGAAGCTGCTGTACCTGCGGGAGCCCGGACGGTGCTGGGGGGACGCTGTGGTTTGACTTCTGGGGCTGGGGGCAGCACGGGTGGGTCGGGGTCTGTCTGGGTTGGGGTCCGCGGCCGCGTGGCGTCTGGCTTGGGGGTCCTCAGCCACATGCAATTTGGGTCAGGGTCGGGGTCTGCAGCTGCGTGGTGTCCGGCTCTCATGGCCCCCGTGTCTGGACTTCGCTCTCCAGCCATTTCCTCTGCATGTTTCCCTGGAACAGGACCTGGGAAACAGGGTGGTGGAGGTGAACACGCCCCAAAACCTGCCAGCCCTGGTCTGTGATGCCTGGATGGAGGGGCCACAGCCACGCTGGCTCCCAGCCTCTTCCCAGACACCCTGGCCCCTGGATGCAGCGTCCACCGTGGGGCGTGTGGTCCCTGAGCACCCCCCACACCCGCTCCGTGTGGCTCTGCATCCCTACCCAAACCTCGTGTGGAAATGGAGTCTGCAGTGTGGTGCTGGGGCCTGGTGGGGAGTGACTGGGTATCAGGGGGGGATTTCTCGTGAATGGCTTGGCCCCATCCCTCCTGGTGCTCTCCTCGAGGTGGTGAGTGGCCGTTTAAATGCGTCCGGCACCTGCTCTGTCTCTGGTTCCTGCTCTTGCCATGTGAGACGCCTGCTCCGGCTTCTGCCTTCCAGCAGATTTGGAAGCTTCCTGGAGCCTCTCCAGAGACAGAAGCAGCTATGTTTTCCGTACAGCCCGCAAAGCCTGAGCCAATTAAACTCTTTTCTCTATAAATTACCCAGTCTCGGGTATTTTTTTTTTCGTGGGGGGTGGGAGTGGACAGCGTCTCGCTCTGTCCCCCAGGCTGGAGTGCAGTGGCGCGATCTCTGCTCAGTGCACCCTCTGCCTCCCGGGTTGAAGCGATTCTCCTGCCTCAGCCTCCCAAGTAGCTGGGATTACAGGCATCCGCCACCACACCTGCTAATTTTTATATTTTTAGTAGAGACGGGGTTTTACCATGTTGGCCATGCTGGTCTTGAACTCCTGACTTCATGATCCCCCCACCCCGGCTTCCCACAGTGCTGGGATCACAGGCGTCAGCCACCGCGCCTGGTCGCGGGTATTTTCCAGCAGTGCAAGGAGAGACCACCACACCTGGTGAACGCTCCTGACGGCAGTAACTGAGGTGCACCTGGGGGGTGCCTCTGCGGCAGACACACCTGAAGGTGGTTGGGGTTCCCAGCGAGGGAATCTGGGAGGAGCCAACCGGAGACCCAAGTCCTCTCTATGAGGAACATCTGAACCCTGGCTGTCCTGTGGAACCCGGGCAATGCTGAGGATTGAGACCCTTTGTTTTGGGCTCAATGGAGGCTGTGGGTGGAGGTTGTTGGGGGACGATGGAGGCTGTGGGTGGAGGTTGTTGGGGGATGATGGAGGCTGTGGGTGGAGGTTGTGGGCGAGGGTGCTAAGTGAAAACGCTGTAGGATAGGCGTGCTTCTTGCAGTGGTTGTGGTTTTTGCAGTGGTTGTGGTTTTGTGGTGGTTGTGGTTTTTGCGGTAGTTGTGATTGTGGGTTTTGCAGTGGTTGTGGTTTTTGAGATGTTTGTGGTTTTGCAGTGGTTGTGATTGTGGTTTTTGCACTGATTGTAGTTCTCCTGCCCCGACTGCTGCCACTGGACCCTCTCCCCCGTGTGTAGCCTTCGATAGGACCCCATGTCTGGATCCTGGCACTGGGTCTCCTCTGGCCTCATGAGACTGGTGCTGTCCCCACTGGAGCCGACAGGGGTTTGGCTCCTGGCTTCCTCCGTCTCTGGACGAGTCAGCAGCTGCTCCTGTGCAGGAACGCCCACGGCCTTTGGCATCACACGGGGTCTGGATCCTGGCTGTGACCCCTCCCCCAGTGACCTCCTGCGGGACTGATGGCCAGAGAGGGGGCCTGTCGGGCCTACAGCGCCCGTCCCACCATCAGCCACCCTGAGTTCTGGGCAGGAGTCCCCTCGCCTCGGTCCTACCCACCCAGAAGGATCCAGTGAGGCAACGCCCGCCTGGGATGCCGCAGAGGTCAAGCCCAGCACCGTGAGGCTTAGTGGCTGCTGGGAGCCATGGCAACCGGATGGTGGCTGGATGGACTCCGCAGGGACAGTCCTCAGACCCCTCTCCAGGGACCCCACCCTAGCTGTGACCTGTCCCACGGCACCTGTACTGTGACACCCTCTTTGCTGTCCATATGGCTATGAGGGCTGCCCTTTGCATGTCCATTCCCGAGTCCCAGCCCTACAGCAGCGATGGGCTCGCCTGGCCCCTCTGTGGACTCCGCCACTGTCTGTACGGTGGGATGTTAATAGTCTCCGCGTCATGTGGCTGTTAATTTTGGAAGCTCGCCCCCTTCCTCCTCCCCCACTACGGTCCTGCCTTCACACCCCACTGCCTGAGTCAGCGCCCACAGCTGTACCGGATGCTGGGTTTGGCCCCAGCTGAAGGGCTGGTGTCCTGCATGCAGGCGGGGTCCTGGTAATGGGGCTGTACCATCTGTGTGAACGGCCTCGGCTGCTTCCCCCTGCCCTGCCCAGGCTGAGTCCACAGTCCCAGACAGCAGTGCCCCGAGAGCTGCCTGGCATACCCCGGGAAGAGGATGAATTTCGCCTTATGGGAGCCTTTGCCAGGAGTGGGGCTGCCTGGTGACCACGTGAAGCACCTCCCAGGATGAACCAGGACACTGCCAATGCTGAGGCTGGGCTGGGACTTCCAGGGCCTCATTGTCTGGGATGAGGTGGGCTCCAGCTGGGCTGTGGCAGGGACCAGGAGGAACCTGCGTCTGCCCTGATCTCCCTCCTCACGCCTGCAGAGCCCTCCCCTGACCGGACAGTAGGGTGTCACACCTGCAGAGCCCTCCCCTGACCGGACAGCAGGGTGTCACACCTGCAGAGCCCTCCCCTGACCGGACAGCAGGGTGTCACACCTGCAGAGCCCCTCCCCTGACCGGACAGCAGGGTGTCACACCTGCAGAGCCCCTCCCCTGACCAGACAGCAGGGTGTCATACCTGCAGAGCCCCTCCCCTGACTGGACAGCAGGATGTCACACCTGCAGAGCCCTCCCCGACCGGACAGCAGGGTGTCCTGGGTGGGACCCGGCCCGAGCATCCAGAAACTCAGCTCTAAGTCAAGACTCTTACCCTCTCTGAGCCTCAGTTTCCCCATTTTCAAATGATGCCCAGGAGAGCAGGACCCACCCCCCAGCTGGGCCTATCAGAGTGCTGGCGCAGGCCTGAGGCCTCTCTTGGGTGGTATAACCCACTGCCCTAGCCCAGGTGGGACCGGGGGGGCCCCATGATCCCCCAGGAGTGTGGGGATCTCGTGTGGGGGTCTCTCACCAGCTCCAGACGCCAAGTTTCCAGGGCATATTCACTCAAATTCCTCACCCTCACCTTCCCCCCAGTGCAGGCCTGGCTGTGGCCACTACCTGGGGCTGGGAGGGGGCAGGTCTTTGGTACCTGCTCTGTCCCTGGCATCTGGACCAGCGCCCAGCACAGTGACGTCCCTTAAGCCAGTGCAAGGTGAGGGCCTCAGCACTGCCCCCGCCTCCCATCCTGAAGGCTGGGGTAGCCTGGGAAGCTGCATTTTAATGAGTACGCCATTTTAACAGAGTGCCCACTGAGGCCTGAGACCACGGCCAGGAGGGTCAGCCACCCCCAGGGCCCCAGGGGCGGGGCTCAGGCCCCTGCAGAAGGCCCCATCCTTGAAACCCTTCGAGGGTCTCCCTGCTTCTCGCTGGACTCCGGGCCACGCTCTGCCCTTGGCAGCTGCAGCCTGCACCTCACTCCAGACGCCTTAGTGGGAAGCCCCTGCTGCCGGGTCCCCAGGCTGGAATCCGCAGGACTTTGGGGCACCCTGTGCTCTTGGGGACGCTGTGCGGTGGTTCCCTGAGGAGGTCAGACACCAGGACACCGTCCCAGCCCGGTCCCGGCAACACATGCCTGCAGCATGTGCACCAGCGTCTTTCTTCTGCTGTCGGGAGGCTGGTGACCTGCTGTGCTGCCCCCATGGGGGCTGACCTCTGACCTCCCATCTGGCAGGCTATGCTGCAGCAGCCAGGACCGGGAGGTGCACGTGGACCCGTGTTTATTGGAATCCTGCTGTGATCAGACCCAGGGATGATGTTGAGACCCGCCAGGCCCCGTGGCCTCCTGTGAGCATCCATAGGCGGTTGGGGGCAGCAGGCAGTGGAACAAGTGTGGGGCGGCCGGGGCTTCCCGGAGGGAGGGTGGCTTGAGCTGCCGGAGGAGTTACCTGCAGAAAGGGAGGTGGGTGCACCGGGCAGGGGGGCAGCCAGG